TAATGAAGACATTTGTTCTCTTCCGAGAAAATTAAAAATACTCTCCGTATAATTGAAGACTTATTTACCTTTTTCTTATCTATATATCTATCTATATATTATATAATTGAGAGTCACATTGACATGTGTCATTTCATTATTTACTATTGCCATGTGTCACTCTATTGTCTATTATTAGCCACATGTTACTAGATTATTTGCTCATATTAAAAATCTAACAACTAACTTTATTACCTTTATTACTATTATTATACTCCGTATATCATTGGGTAGGTTTCATACATGTATATATTACCTTACTTATATATTACCTTATATGTATACATACTACGTATTTATTATCTTTATTACTATTGCTTTGTAATTGATATTTATGTTTAGTAAATAGATTCCATTTCATATATATGGAGTATTACCTAAATGATTGCCTTCGTACACGTTTTTTTATTTGTATAGTGATTTAGAGCCCGTTTGGTGACCTTAGTTTTCAGTTTATCAGACTTATCAGTCAACTTTTTTACCAAGCACATACTTTTTTTAGCATGCTGAATTGTGTAATAATAATAAAAAGTAATGTTGGAGTTTCTTTTCTGGTTGTATTGGCTGAAGTTATTGTAGAGAATCAGTTTATCTATTTTTCATATATTTTTTTTCTTAAATTTATTGATAAAATTGTTTTTATTATAATTTCTTTTATAAGTCAGCAGAATCGGTCGATTTGGCCAATCTATATCTATTGACACTTTCGGTCAATAAATAAAATGTTCACTTATTGCGGAATAAAATTGCGTTACACAATCATGAGATTTTAGAGCCCATTTAGTGACCTCTATATTCGGCTTTTATAAGTCATTCTTTTCACCAAACAGGTAATGTTTTAATTTCAAGTACTGAATTATATGATAATCAAAATAAGTGAGCTTAATTTGAGTTATTTTTTTGAATTAAGTTACTATAGTTGAACCAAATTCACCAAATCACTCAATTAGACCCAAATTAAAAAAATCTCTCTCTTTTCACACCGCTCTATATAACTTTTTTTATTTATAATTGAGTTTTTATAAAAAGAAAAGTAAAATTCACTCAAATATTGCATATAAAAATAGAAATAAATATGAAAACCAAATAGGTGGAAGGTTTTAGACTCCTAACTTTTTAAGTGCACCCAAGTTCTAAAATTAAGATTTCATGATTGCATAGTCTGATCTAATGTTGCAAACAAGGGACACTTTTATATAGGGGTGGGCATGGAACGGTACATGACGGTTATTTCAAAAAACATGTCCCGTCCCAAAGTACGGTTCTTTTAAAAACCAAGAACCGGTACCGTCCCACACATATATGGAACCTGTCCCATTCCGTACCAATTTTCAGCACGGTTCGGTACGGTTCTTCGGTGTTATTTGGTTCGCAAATAATTAACCCCCATGAAATATAATTAACCCTATTTACATAGCATTGTTAATATCATTTAGTATTGTTTTTGTTTTAAAGCTAACTTTTAGTGCTGTCAAGTCTTAATAATTGGATTACACCCAAATAATATGCAAGATTGCATATTTGTAATATATGGACATATGATTCCTGACACTTATACTTGGTAATATGTTATATATAATATACGTAGTATTATTACTCGTATATTATAACACTAGTTTTCGGGACATATGGTCACTAACATTTATACTCGGTAATACATTATGTATAATATATTATTATAATCTAACACTAGTTTTCGGGACAATTCGGGACGGTACGGGACGGTTCGGGACAATACGGTTCCGGGTCGGTTCCGGAACGGTTCTCACTAAGAACCGGTACCGTACCATATTATTAAAAAAGTTCGGTACTGTACGGTACGGTTTTACATTTTTTCGGTTCTATCGGTTCTGGAACGGTTCGGGACGGTTCTTTGGTACGGAACGGGAATTCCCAGATCCGTGCTCAGCCCTACTTTTATATTGGCTGAAAGTATCAATACGGGGCATTAGGTTCTAAAATATTTTATTTAAAAACAACTCAAATTGAATCAACCGAATAAATAAATGTCACAAGCATTCTATATTGATACTTTCAGTCAATAAACAAAATGTTTCCCTTATTGCAAAATGAAATTGCGTTACACAATCATGATATTTTAGAACTCATTTGTTGGCCCCTATATTCGGCTTATTAGTTTTATAAGTCATTATATTTATTTCACTAAACACGTAACTTTTTATGTCACATGCAGAATTGTATGATAATCAAAATGAGTAAGATTTGAGTTACATTTTTGACTGAAGTTACTATAGATAAACATTTTAGCTATTTTTCATATTTTTTCTCTTTATTTTATTAATAATATGCAGAGTATATTTTAAATATGATTACTTCATTATAAAGCAAATGTCAATTCAGCCAGACCTTCATCAATTTCAGTAGAATCGGCCAATTTCACTGTTATCAAACAAACTCTTAATTTTAGAACTTTGATCAAATTAAGAAAAATTTTGAGCTTAAAAACCTCCACCAACCGCATATTTAGATTCACTTTTATTTTTATAGATGCAATATTGGTGTCATATGAAAGTTAATTACAAGTTATGATTTTGATATATTTTTTTTTTGTAAAAATCGGATTAGAAATAAAAAAAGTTCTAGCAATTTTTTAAAAAGAGAGTTTTTGAATTTGGGTCTAATTAAGAACCTGTTTGGTAACACTAAAATTGGTTGAATCGACTGATTCTGCTGAAATATTTTAAGTTCTGGCTTATATGGTTGGATTAGCTGATTCTGTTAAACTGTGAAAATATTATATTTAAAATATGTTTTATTCTAAAAATAAAGAAAAATATATGAAAATAGCTAAAATGGTTCTCTACAATAGTTTCAACCAATCCAGTCATACACAACTTTAAGTTGATCATTACACAACTTTGCGCACAAAAATAAAGTTACGTGTTTGATGAAAAAGTTGGATGTTGAGGCTGATCAACCGAAAAACTAGATCACCAAACCAGCTCTAGCTGATTTGATTTGCTAGCTTTCATATGCTAGCTTCATAACATTCGCTCCCTAATTCGGCGATTAAGAGAAAGTCGACAATTGAGTTAGGGGTTTTAATTTATTAACCAGGGTTCGTTCTAGCAGTATTTTGAGAACTACTTTTAACTCGATACTAATTTGGTAAATAATTTTGTATTTAAAATTATTTTGGAAAAACTCTTTATTATCACATAGTGATTATTTACGTGTAAGTATTAAATTACATAAAAAACCATTGACATCTAATTTGTCATTAACACCTACGATAAGGGATTCGTGTTATTTAAAATCCAATTTTATAATTTGAATAGTTATGCAATGCAATCAAATTTCTAAAAATATCAAATTTAAATAATAATGATTACTAACCATGCAATTATGACTGTTGTAAATTGTAGATATCGTTTACACATAGAAAATATATTTTTTGTAAGCAAAAAAAACATCCACATATAACATGATATGACAAAATATGTGTTCTTATATGAACACATTGTTTATGTTAATAAAATTTTCTCGTGCATCGCACGGGTAGAATACTAGTATTATACACTTCTCTTCAATTTCTTCCGTTCTTTTCGAATGAGCAGATTTTCCATTTCACTTTGGAGTCCTAAGCTTGTGGTTTTTAGTTAGCAAGGGCAGGAGAATGTTAGAAAATATACAACCTCAACCGCTCCTAATTCCTATGCTGCTGCACTGCAAGAGAGACTTTCAACCCGGCCCTTAGATATTAGAGCATCTTCATTGCATGTCTTTCTAGTCTAAAAAAGATGTGCCAAGTGTCAAATAAATAAGTGGATTTCTAATACACATAATACAAAGTGGGATGAGTAGATATTAAACTACCAAGAAGGTTTCCAATGCATCACTTCTTAATGTCCAACCGTCCGTCCAACCTTAGCACTCTGTAATACTATCAGTTAATTATCATCATTGGTAATTATAGTCTTGGTTAATATATTACCGCTGCCATTTACAGTAAAAAAAAATCAAAGCTGCTGTTCATGGAAAAAGAAGCCGGCAAGCACCTTCCTTCATTTTTACTCCGTAATACAGATGCATCGCAGTCATGGAGCTCCTCTCACATACCAGTAGATTTTTTTTTTGCTTCCTTAAATATATAGATCGCAAGGGTTTTATTTATTCATTCTTATGATTAAAATTTAAAAGAACAAAATCAAATCTTTGTTTTACCGGTATCATCTTTTATATATATGGCGCCGCAGGGACTGTCGGGGCAGGCGGTGCGGTAACCTTGTCCGGCAATTCGATTTGGCCGCTTAAAACTTTTAAATCTGAATCCATGAAGTTTTTGGGGAACATCGATGCTTCAGAGATAATGATTTATGCGGTTAGACAAATGGATTCATGTTCTTCTAATTTTTCGGTGAAGCCGGTCCTTATTTTTATCCAGTCAGCATGTTTGGGAAGCAGTCTACACTCAAACATTTGGCCTTCACGATGTCTAAATTTATTTTGCCAGGTCAGCAAAAGACTACAAGCATTGGGGGGTTACATACAAAGTGAATGTCTAATTTTGATGACATAGCACACTAAACCTACACTAGAAAGGGTGCGTTGCGGTTGCTCTTAGTACGCCCATTTGGTAAGAAATTGATTGAATCGGATGAATCATTGTAACCAAGAATTGACTAAATCCGATAAGTAATAGAAAAATTAAATTTAAAATCTACCCCGTCCTTTATAACATTATCGCCTTTCCTTTTTTTGATTGATTTAAAAACTTTGTCACATATCATTTTAATCAATTTAGAGGCCGTTTGACAACACTGTTTTTTGGCTTATCAGACATATCGGCCAATTTTTTTCACCAGGCACGTAATTTTTGCTTTCGCACTCTGAATTGTGTAATAAAAAAAAAGTAAGGTCGGAGTTACTTTTCTGGCGGTATTAGCTCAAGTTATTGTAGATGACCATTTTAGCTATTTTTACATATAATTTTTTCTTTATTTTATTAGTAAAATATATTTTGTAAAATAATTTTTTCTTAAATCAACAGAATCAGTCAATGCAGTCACTTCAGCCAAAACTTCATAAATTTCAGTAGAATCAACTATGGACTGATTTAATTAATGAATTTCTAAATTCATTTAATTGTTGGTGAATCAACAAAATTTAATTAAACATTTTTTTGGGAATCACCTATCTTCGGCCAGTAGAATCAGCTGTTTTTTGGGAACCAACAGCAGCAGGCTTTCGGCCATGACTGATCACCTATCTAATATCACCTATCTATAGTTGGTGAATCAACAAAATTTAATTAAACATTTTTTTTTTCCTAAATTCATTTATTAGTTGGTGAAAGTGATAATCTAATATCACCTGGCCGAAGCCCTGCTGCTGCCCCTGGCCGAAGTTCTGCTGGCCATGGCCGAAAGCCTGCTGCTGTTGGTTGTACTAGGTTGGTCCGCGGCCTGCTGCTGCCCCTCTGCCGCGGCCTGCCCTGCCACGGCCTCCTCGCCCGCGGCCACCGCGGCCACCACGGGGTGCGACACCTCTTTCTTGAACGGCAAATGCTTGATAAGTAGGGGAGGCATTTTGTTGACGAAGATAAAGAACACTCTGTTCAGCCTCTAACAAACTCCGATGAAGTACATCCGGTGGAAATTGATCAGGAAAAAGGGAAATAGTACCCATGGTGGATTCATACTCTGGTCCGAGCCCCATAAAGGTGGTCTGAAGTACCTCTTTATGGGACACAGGAGAATTAATTGCAGCCAGTTCACCAACTAATAAATGAATTTCCCTTAAATAATTTTCCATGGACTGATTTTCCTTCTTTTTCATATTAGACAACAAACGTCTAAGGGTCATAGACCTAGCCAGACTAGCTGATCGGAATCGATTTTGCAATCTTTCCCAAATCTCAAAAGAATGTTTAAGTTCATGTACATCAATTAATACATCACGGGTAAGTGTAGCAAAAATCCAAGAACGAATTGTTTGATCAACCCGTAACCAATGAGAATAATCAGTATTAATGATTTGGCGATTATTAAAATCAACCGTGTACATCGGAGGTACCTGTGTGGAATCATCCAAGAAGCTAAACACACCTTGAGAGACCAGGAAAGATTCAAATTGAGTACGCCATGTGATGTAGTCTTCTACCGTCTTGAGTTTGATTGTAACAATTTGTGCGACATTGTTGGCCGGAGAGATTGATTGTGCAACCGCTGCCATCGGGGACTGGAAGAGAAATTGATCAGGCGGCCGAGACAGACCAGGGGCTCCTGAAAACGTGGAGCCAAAATACCCCGGACTTGAGTTGGGTAATTGGGTGGCAGCAAAGGCAGGAGTCAAGAAGGGGCTGCCTGGATACATCAAAGGAGTGTTTTGAAACAGGGAGGATGTGCCACGATCGAGTGAAGAAGATGCAGAGGTCACGACCAATCCCGGCTGAGAGGTAAGCACCTGCGGCGGCTCGATCATGGTGACCGGGGCGCTGGTGATGACTACGGCTGCGTCGGTGAAGGTAGCGGAAACCGGCGCCGTAGTTGAGGAAGATGAAGGAGTGGTGAAGGCTTCCATGGATGAAGAAGTAAACTCGGCGGAAGAAGAGTGCAGATTCTCGATACCAGAACCTGCGGCCAAAGACATGGCGTAGGAGAGAAGAAAAAAATCGAGGGTTTGGAGGAAAGAGAGAGAAAATTTTTAGGCTCTTGATACCATGTGAAATAGTGGGAAAGGTTACCCAATAGGGTACCTGGCAGATATATTTATACTAATAAAAGTTTCCAAAAATACAAAGGATTCCTAATTTAATATTAGGCTATTACTATTATGCACAAACTCTTTCCCATTACAACAGTTTCAAGAGTTGGCTCATGATTTCATCATGACTATTGTTGGTTTATATACTTTTCCTGTATGATGTGAACCAGGTAATATTGCTAAATGATTCAAATTAGAGTATTGCATACTCTATCATAATATTCTCAATTCGATTATAATCGTTAGCAAAGGATTTATAGTATATACCTCGGAACTCCACAAGGAGTTTACGTGTGCGGCCCATGATCAAATATAAAGTTATCGAAAGGGGGCAATTGTTGGGCCACGAAATAATTGACGGATTAAACAAAGGTTCGGCCCATGATCAAATATAAAGTTATCGATCCAGTCCATCAAGCCACACCATCAGATAAATATGTGCGGCTAAATAAAAGAGGAGCTTAGTGAAAAGGTCAAAGAACTAACTCCCAAATCCAGCAAAAATAGGAGCCGATTATGATGGGCAGTTAGAAGTGGGCAAAAGAATCGGAAGAAAATCTATCCACTATTGTCTATAAAAGCAAAGGTCTAAAGTGGAGCAAGAGGGAGAGGAATTACGTAATTGGCATTTAGCTAAACACAAAAAAGCTCTATCATTGATCATCATTGTAATTTCTTATATTTTATTTCTTGATAGCTAGATATAATTCTTGTACGTAGCCCAATTATTTATCTATTTGATTGTTTGAATTAGCACAAAAATTGCTAAAACAGACTATTGTTGGTTTATATACTTTTCCTGTATGATGTGAACCAGGTAATATTGCTAAATGATTCAAATTAGAGTATTGCATACTCTATCATAATATTCTCAATTCGATTATAATCGTTAGCAAAGGATTTATAGTATATACCTCGGAACTCCACAAGGAGTTTACGTGTGCGTTTGATAAAAGATAAGGATGAGTTAAATGAAACATAACAGATATTTCAGAACTTAACAAAACAATAAATATAAAAGAAGGTATAGAAAAGATAGATCGAATATGAATTCTATCTCATTAGATACTAAAATTAAAATCAAAATTCCCATTTAGATTAAAATTGTTAGCTTATTTTCGTCTAACAAGATAAAAATCTAAATATGCAAAGCTAGATTGAGTCTCTCTCATATCATTACCCAAAACTAAATCATTCAAATTTCTTGTTTTCGGAATTTCAGAATAGCTTGGAGTGAATTTGATTCAACGTCTATAATCGTGACCATGGTTTCCAACGCAGATTATAAGCTTATTTCATTAGTAGTAAAGTGAAACTTTTTTGGGAGAGACAAATACGGAGAATTGAAAAAATATCGTGACATGGAGAGAGCTTAACATTGCTTCGGGTAAGAAGTATGGCCTCAATTCTTCACAACCAAAAGCTGGTCACCACTCACCATACCAGTCCCATCTTTTCTCCTTTTCTTACGTACATGAAGTACTCTGGAAATACACAAACAACTGTCACCAAATAGTGGGATGCTTTACGCATTAAATTTGAACATTTTAGGAAGACATTCTTTTTTGGAAGAATTTAGGAAGACATTCTTATTTAACATTGTTTTAGGATCCCTGCAACTTACAAGGGTGGAACTATTTTTATTATTACAAATTTGATGACATATCTCACTCACATGGAGAAAATCTCAAAATATATGGGGATTCCCACAAGACACCGACGCCATTGATTTTGGCTAACAAAGTATCCAATTCTTACTAGTTGAATGTTTAACCAATATTCTTCTGAGTCACCGGACATTTTCCCCTTCTTCAAACAAGCAGTGGCAATTATAGTAATTTGATTGCAGCTGCTTCAAGACAATATCTACAGTACTACCTCTGCAATCAACAGCATTATGGTCAAGTTGAACTTGATATCCTTACGTTGAATATGTTTCAGAATTAAAAAGCCGAAGAATGCTTTTAAGCTGCAACTTATGACGAACTGCTCTAAACAAAGTTGTCTGGTCAAGCAAGTAGAAGGCTATATTCAACAATCCAGATGACCACAAAGAGACACAAGCATTATGGTGCCAAAGTTCAAACTATTCAGGATCTTTGGCAAGCGATTGAAAGTGTTGGACCATTGCAGTGATATATCAGCAGAGGGTGGCCTTAGAGATTAGAGGATTCCCAGCTTGCATAAACAGCTCGGATAATAGCTTCATGTAGCTTTGTTCCAGAGCAAGCAACTATCCCCCTGTCAAGGCCTTCAAGGTATACCCCTCTTGAAAAGTCAAGTTGGCGCCCTCCGGCATCTGTCACCACTCCCCCGGCCTCTTGTACAAGAAGAACACCAGCTGCATGGTCCCATACCTTTTCCTTATATCCTGCTCTTGCAAATTTCATAAAAATTTCTGCATTCCCACATGCTATGGCAGCATACTTCACCATGCTATAGACACGCAAGGGCTGCTTCCTGTCAAGTGACCCACATTATTATTATAAGCGGCGTGTACAAACTTGAAAAACGAAAACATCTCTACAATCACTCAAATCATGAAGACAGAGAAGGAGCTTCACAAGTGTATTGGATAGCATTGTACTCAACAATTCATAGCTCGAATTTCAGAGAGGACACCTCACCCTCCCTAGAACCTAATTCCGAGTGGGACACACCAGGTATATTTGGTTCGGTTCACCTAAAACTACCATAGGAGAACATGTCCAGCGTTCAGAAACAGAACTTAGGGCAATTTCATTTTGTCAATTAATTCAGTTCGGGGTTCAATTCGCACCAGTGCTATTCTCAGTCATGGTATTGAGGAAAACCAATGTAAGGATGTTTTTTAGTTGGACTAATTTTAGTCTCAGACCATATCATAGCAGACAGGACTTCCACAATAGTAAAATACATAAAACAAACCTTACCGAACCAGAATAGACTTAAACAGGCCAGACCATACAAGAAAATTTCAGTCCAATTAAAAACATCCTATGACTCCACATCCAAAGCCATTACTAGTGAGACATTTGACAAGAATAACTAGTTCAGCACTTTATTTACACTAATTGGAGGTTTCTGATGAACATTAAAGTCTTACAAAGAGAGAGGTAAACCATTAACACGTAAAAGGAGATATTGCGTAAACAGACCTGAGCCCAACAGAATGTGCAAGTCCGGCTGTAAAGGAGTGGTTTGTGTTAGCTTTCTCAACTGGTTCACAAATAGTAGCCAGTTCTGGATCATCAATACAAGAAACCCGTATTTGTTTTGCAAAATTTGGCCACTCAAGCTTCTTATCAACATCAACAAGTGGCTGCATCCAAGCATGGCCACTACCTCGACTTGTGTACATGACACAGCCTTCTTCATGCTTACCCGCGGAGGTCCCCTGTAGGTCCGGCATGGTATGATTCTGTTGCTTGTGGTTATGATACTGTCCCTTCATTGGATAATTAGGACACCCCAGCACTCCGATAACAACTGCTCCATTGTCAATTAGTGCTAATGCAACAGCATATTGATCCTGGCGCACAAACCCTAGAGTTCCATCAACAGGGTCCAGGACCCAATGCCTGCCAACGGCCCCTCCACTTGAACTGCACCTGCTAATAGCTTCAAGAACTTGTGATTGATCCAGAGCCACATCAGGACTTCTTAGGCCATATCTAGGAGCTTCCACCAAGCACTCGTTAACTGTGCTGCTGACTTTTTCCAGTATACCAGCTGATTCAGACGTTGAAAGAGAGTGGACATCTTCTTCAGCAACTATTGAAACATTATCAGGACCAAAATGTTCAGAAAGAATCCAACTCACTATCGCTTGGACGCTCCAATCTATTCACACAAAAGAGTAATGCAAGAGTATGTTAAAAATATTAACTTGCAAAAATTTAGAGACTCAAATAATTAGTTCGCAAATGATACCGGACAGAAACACTTATGCAACTACAGACCATGCCTGGGGGGCCAAGTCACACACTTTATGGGATGATAAGATAAAGATCAAGGAAAAGCTTAACAAGAAAATATCTGGCAAAACAGCAAATAAGGACATAACATGGCAAACAACACTTTTAATTGCGAAAAAGTGACTACCAACATACTCTTAAAAAAGTAGATGTCCAAAAACATGCTCAATACAGAGGAGCTAAACTGATGAGCCATGTGCATGGAAATCTATGAGAGTAATTAAAATAAGATAAGGGAGAAATTCAAATATATCAGACAATCAGTACAATTTTATATTTGTAAGCAATGAAGATGCCTTTTTAATAAGGTAACTAATTGAGAGCTATCAGACGAATTAGAAGGACTTACATATAGTGTTCATAGACATGGGAAATTACATTATTGACTCTAGTTTTATGGAAAGTATTGGAAACAAAGGTGTATGTGTGGGTCTATATTTAGCTGATGAAGGATATGCATGAAAGAGTAATGACTAGTTGAGGACACTGGGAGGATAATCTAGTCTATTCCTCAATACAATAGGACTGCATAAGAGCTTTTCCCCTTAAGTCCCTACTTATTCATATTAGTCATTGACAAACTCACTAGCCAAATTCAAGAGGATGTGCCTTATTACATTTTCTCTAGATGAATCTAGAGAAAATGTAAATGCTAAGCATGAACTATGGATTTCATCTTTACAATCTAACGGATTTCAGTTGAGAAGATCTAAGACAATGTATATGGAACCTACGTTCAGTAAAACTAAATCTAAACCAAAGAGTAAAGTATCGATACAAGATTAGGCTAAGAAAGATTACAATAAATTGGGAGTTTTCGGTATATATGGTCTCTGATTCAACAACATGGGCAATGTGATGCACACGTTGAGCACATAATTGAGGTAGGATAGTCTGGATAGAAGAAGTATATGAGTGCACTAAGACTCTTGTAGTATAACTATCATAACAGCTGAAAGCGAAGTTCAATTGGATGGCAAAACTCGGGTGTTAGACTGTGAAATATCAACATGTTCACATAATGCCAATGGGGAAAATGAGTACGTTGATATGGATATAAAGCAAAACTAGGAAGTATAATATCAGGAAAAGGAGATGCGAAAGAAAGTATTACTGCATGAGTAGTCTAAATTGAGGAAAATGCGAGAGATAAGGACTTGATATTCTCTAAACATACCCCTATTAGAAGGTGGGAATGCATAGAATGATATATATAAATCTAAGATGGGTAAAGGAGGAACAGAGTTGATTTGTTTAAAGACAACTAAATGACACCTTATGAGCAATCTTCTAAAAAATCCTAGCATGTGTGAGTTACTACTTGGTTCCTAGGCAAGGTAAGGCATAACAAAAAATGCAAAGACAAGATTAGGCAGGGTACAGTAAAACACAATGAGGTCAAAGGAATAGCAACACCTAGGCATATGCTAGATGAGTGGAGATAAGATTTTTTAGAACAAAGCTTAAAAGTGTGGGGGCTTAAAGAGGAGATGACTCACAACTGGAGCAAATGGTGTCCCTTGATCCACAAAACAAGCCCTACCTAGTGAGGAAATCCATAATTTGGTTTGGTTTAGATATATCTTCTCTGCAGAATGAATGAAAAGGATAAAAAAATTTAGAGACACTTTGTTAATTGAGGTGTTACCTAAAACCAGCCTAGCTCAAATCCGGCTTGGTTCACTTAGCTCGAATAACATCACTATTTGTTCAGGTTTAGCTCGAATAACATCACTATTTGTTTCAAGACAACAAAATAAAAATCCCGTAAATAATACTCCACTCCGTAATAGCCTAGCCAGATACATCTATCTACCATCACTTCAAGCAAAAGTTAGTTGAAATTGAAGGATTAAGTATTAACTTTATGGTTGTTCGGTATAGAGAGGATTACAAGGAGGAGCGATTGATGTAATCAGCTACCCTATGATGAATAAAACAGTGCAAGTGGTTCGCGTAAATGGTGAAAAGGAATTTTAAAAACAAAAACAAAAACATCTATCTCATCTCATCCTCAAAAACCGAAGGACTAGAAAATTCAAAAAAATGAGGCGTAGAGAACACAATGATTCGACTGCCATTACATTTCATTCATCACTCTCAGGTAGATGAAAAATAAACAAAAACTGGAAATTGTACCTGCCACAGTGACAGGGGAGTTGTCGTCTTTAGACAGAACCAGCTCACCGGAAGTGGAGAAAACGAGCCCCTTCTGCACTTTTTGACAGAGTAAACAAGCCATATGCACCGCCCGGACCGCCACATTCAACTCCTCCGAGTATTTACCCCCGTCCATGGTTAAGATTTCTTTTCTACACTGTTTTGTCCCCTGACCATCAACCTGCTTAGGTCTTCAAGTCCGTGAAAATGTAGAGAGTGGAAACAAAATCAGCAAAATCGCATCACGGTGTTTGGAGAAATGGAAATCCTACTTTTCAATGTCCATGATATGATACCATTTTGGATTTATGGGTGAGATATTTATACAGTCGCCTCCATTTCCCAGTTTATAGTTCACTGTGTTTACCTATCTCTTTTCTCAATTTCTTGCACAATACTGTAATTTCTCAAAATTGATTTTTAGATGTTGACTTGGTAAATTGATCTTTTGTGGATTTATATGGCGCTTTTGGCATTTAGATAAACAACAAAATAGATGAATCTTTCTTTTAAGATATACGGAGTACTTTTCAGGCCTCGCCTTTTCGGGCGGTTCCCGGTGATATTTTCTTCTGAATTTTTTTGTGCATGTTCCTCATCAAATCTAGTATATCCATACCGAATTTCAGCTAAAAATTCAATCGGGAAGATAGTCAAATGATTTTTGGAAAATAACTGCGCCAAAATATACATATAAAATGCAGTTATTTTCCAAAAATCATTTGACTGCCTTCCCGATTGATTTTTTAGCTTAAGTTTGATATGGATATATTAGACTTGATGAGAAACATGGACAAAAACATTCAGCAAAAAATACCATCAGGAACTGCCCCAAAAGGCGGAGGCCGAAAGCAATGGCTGACCCACTAAGGATCCCATGGGGTCCCGGGACCCCGTGGACTTTAAAAAAAATGCCTATATATATTATATATATTTTACATAAAATTAATTAATCACGGTATATTAAACAAAAAATCTCCTTAGTCGGAGATTATGGGTTTGATTCCGGTGGCACTAATTTTTGTTGTTGCACTTACTCTTCTAAAACACAAAAACTACATCGTTTTGACCCCTTTTTAAAACCCGATGACCCAATTCAGCCAGCCAAAGTCACACAAGCCCGAGTTTTATTTAACCTTTGCATAATTTATTTATTTTTTGGATTAATTACTAAAATTTCTTTGAATGTTAAGATTAAATTAATAAATCTATGCATTTATGAATGTTTTTTTCTATATTTTTACGATTTAGGGTGAAAATATATTTTGATAGTTCAGAAATTGGGAGTACCGGAAGTAGTTCGGAAATTGGGAGTACCGAAAGTAGTTCATATATTAATTCAAATTACTCGCCATTAGTAAATGAAGAATTGGATCAAATAATTGTTGATAGTGAAACTAATTTGGCTTATAATTTACATAACAAAATGTTGTTTTTGAATATTTGGAAGCTAACTCTTGATTGTAATGGTGTCCACGAAGAAGTATCTCACATATCAGCATGTGTATAAGCTTAATAAGTTATTTCTACTTCTCACTGTAGCCTACAATAAGTGTTGAATGCATGAGTTTAAGTATGAAGTCCGTGAAGAATGAGTTGCAAAATAAGATATGCAATCAATGGCCGGTAGAATTGTAGAATGACTTTTATTTTCAATTTTTTACTTTATAAAATCTTAATGTTTTTATGATGTACGTTAAGTATGAAACGTTATGCTTCTTTAATATTTTACATATTATTTATTTATTTATTATTAATTAGAACTACGTTAAGGTAGGGACCCCGTCGTTCTATTTTTCTGGGTCCGCCACTGGCCAGAAGGCGCTCCAGTCAAGAACGGAGGGACATGAATAATCCTCTCTACTTCCAGACACCTAAACCTTTTCAAATCTAAGGAGTATGATTTGCGGACTTCTAGTGATGATAAACTTAAATTTTTCATTACAAATTTCAGATTAATTTCAAATCAACATGGTTAGAAACTATGGCTATGTTTGGCAGGAGCTTTCAGCTGATAATGGGCTGGAATTTTTAGAATCCAACCAATAAATATAAATGTAATACTGTTTGGATAGAGGGCTGAATTGAGCTGAAGTTGGAAAAACATAACTTATTCAAAACGTTAACATGTGAAGCGTTTGTGGTCAGACGATGTATTCCTGAGTTCCCTACCCAAATTATCCCATAGTCGACAACGCTTTTTTTCGTCGGATGAATTTAAATAGGCTACGGTGCTCCTATTTCTGTAATAACTGCCGACTATAAAAATTGCCTAGGCAATTGCCAATAATGAATCAAACATCAAGATATGAGAAGCATCTCAAATTGCCGTCCTCTGGTCTATCCTTTGTGCTTCAAAAATTTCTGTATTTTTGGTTATAATTGATCCTTTCCTTCCCAATCAGACAGTGTGGAGTTGGTCGTTGATTACCCTGCTTTTCATCTGCTATTCATCTGTTAGCTTTGTTTTGCATTGCTGCTTGAATTTTAATATGAACTCATCTCAAACAATACGAAAAAGGAAGCTCTCGTACTTAATTCGTTGTAAAAAATATACATTTTTTAAAATATAAATACTATAATCGTAATAATTATTAAAATATACGGAGTATCATTTTTTAAATAATTTGTTACATTGATAATTATATGCCCTTTCCGGTAATTTCATATTATTCGGGCACTTTTTCAGCTCTTTTTGCCAAACGGGCATACTTCATTCAGCTATCATTTCAGATCCAGCACATCAAAGTCATCAACCCCAGACAATAGTCTATGATTCAGACAATAGCTCCTAATTAGCTCCTAATTCAGACATTAGTCTTCTGTTCCAGCTCGTTGTGCCAAACATAACCTATATTGGTGGTACAAATCGGTACATATATATAGGGGGTGTTTGGTAAAACCCTTTCGGCCAAAAATTGGCTGATTTGACCAATATCAGCCATTTGACCATCTCAATCGGCCATTTTGGGGTTGTTTGGTAAACAGCTTATCAGCTGTTTTTTAGCTTGTTTGATTCAAAAAATCTGTTTGACTGGATTAAAATGTAAAAAATTAATCAGCTTATTCATTAGGATGACTAGCTTTTTGAGAATAGCTTTTATCCCCGGCCAAAATTAGAAACGCCAAGCATTGTGGCGTTTTAACCTCATCCATTTTAGTTTCAATTTTTAAAAGTCTAAACTAACCCTTTAACTGCTCCCCGTAAATAGCATCCCTATTCTAATTTGATGTCTGCTCCACGTAAATAGCATTTCGACTCTAATTTTATGTTTTATAATTTTCTATTTGAAAGTTAGATGCACGGCGTTTCAAGTTTACTTTTTTTTTTTCGTTTCCTTCAAAAAAGAAGTTTACTTTTTATGTTAGCAAAAATGATTTATACGAAATGCTTAGTAATTAAGTATATATTAGTAACAAGTTAAAGACTACTAATTGTAATGATTAACAAATTAACGAATTAAACATTTATATAACGAATTTTGTTCCTAAGGAAGTTGAAAAAATTAATTACATTTATTAATTCAGGAAAAATGTTTAAAATAATTACTACTTGTGTTAATACATTATATATTTTTAAATTCATAAAGACGGTTTATGTAGTTGTACTAATTACATTAATAAAAATTAATTGATGTTCTTAAAAGTCATTTAGCAAGCTATTAGCTGATTTAAAACCGCCAGTTTACCAAACACCATTTTATCAGCTAACCATAATAGCCGATACAATCTGTTGTTGTCAATCAGCTAACCCGATCAACCAATAAGCCAACAGCAACATCTGATTGCTAAACACCCCCATAATGAGGATAAAAAGAGGGAGACTCAAAATAGGAGTAAAATATGATTTAAGTGTAAATATAAGAGTCATGATTTTTTTTTAGATAAGAGTCATTTTTAGTGTTAGACAAAAATACCCCTACAAGAAGTGTATTCATGTTAGCTAAACATGAAGGAGCGAGTGGCGAGTTCTGTCAGCTGCGAGTGGGCGAGTGACCACGGACAGCGGGACGATTGACAACGACGGATTTTCCGCGAGAATCATTGGGCTTCAAAGCAGTTCCGGCTTAATTTCCGGTGGCCGGTAGACAGTGCTCCCATCTCTACAGTCTACACTTCAGCAAAGCCGCTTAATGCCTTAACCTAATCGTTTTCTAATAATTTCATTTAAAATTGTTTAGTTGTTGAATTTTACTATTGAAATCAAATAAAATGTTAAACTATTGAATGTTTTGGCAATTATATTCTGATAATCTCATAAAATGTTAAGTACAGAGTATATTGTAATTTTTTAAATTGTAGATTTATTGGTTTACTTAACGTTGTTAATTTGTTATAATGTAAATTATACAATTATACTCATATTTCAATTGTAGTTCGTCTTGGTTGTTTGATAAACAATCACTATGTTACGATATTATACACCGAAACCTAAGCGGCCGAGCAATGGTGTTTTGTTCATCAAATAATGTTAAAAAGGCTCGAATGGATTGCGTAAAACGATTGACACTTGTGATGTTAATATTAGACACGGGTTGAGGAGGCGTTATGTGACAAAAGGCCCTTGCCAACCGCGTGAGTTTAAATTTCCACCGACTGATTTTAATGGGTGCAACATATCATTTCAAAAGCATTGGTTTGAAGAATTTAATTGATTGTATTATAGTGATTTTATTTAAAGCTTATAGTTTTATTTATTTCTATATTCGTGATATATATGATTTCTTTGTTAATGAGCCTCTTCAAGTCACGAGTCCTGGTTCCGCCATCGAGTATAAGTTGCCCATCATCATAATTTTAAACCATAAAAATGTTCGAGACAAATTTATAAATTCCAACTTCTAAGGAGTTCCAAAATATGTCAGTTAAACACATCCAAAATTTAAAAAAGTGATAAATGTTTTCAAATAAGTACGTTTCCTCAGCCCAAGCAAACAGCTCATCCCCTGCATGTATACTTCGCCCATTTAAAAACTAAGAACAGCCTAGAATCTCTCCTTTCAGATATCTCCCTGACGAAACGCTCCTGCCCTTGAAAATGACGATTTTATTTCACAGCGCAAGCGGCTCCGCTCTCCTTATCAGAATCTTACTGATTTCCACCACCGTCGTATCCGCCGCCGTGATGTTGAAGATCTTCGAATCTCCTATCACCGATTTCCTCGTCCGCGACCTCCCGTCCACCTGGAACGCCGTCGTTTCATGGCTCCGTCCTCCCTACCTGTACCTCGTCATCAATTGCATCATCATCACCATCGCCGCCACTTCCAAGCTCCAGGTCACGACTGATGATGATGAAATGCCAACTCCGCCGCTTGATACGCCGGTCGAGGTTCACTCCGTTACGCCTCGGACCAAGGAAATTCAAACTCCGGCCGTCGATTTCCCCGGCATCAATCGGCACTACGACGATTTCATTTTAGACAATCAGGCGCCGGTAGTGTTGCCGGAGGTTTCCGCCGCAAATAGGAATAGCGTCTACCCGGATACGGTGGAGAGTCCGCCATACGGACACATTAATTCTGTGGTTCAACAGAGAGTTGAAGCTTGTAATGTTCCAGAAGACGAAGTGGATGGTGATGAGAAAGAAGATGAGTTTATAATCTCGAGATCGCCATGGATGCCGTTGAGCAGGCAAGATTCGTCTGGATATGGGGAATTGGCTGAGAAACCACTGGCTTCTTCCAGATTCAGTCACCGGAAGAATGCCAATAAATCCGCTCCTGACGGTAACCCTTGAACTTTCAATTTGCTCTTCCCTTATTGCTACCAACGGTCCTATTTTTTGGTACTATTTCAAATTAAGGTTGGATTTAAGTCAACTTTATTTTAATCAGCTTTGGCAATTAAATTTGTATTTTTTGAAATTATGCTAAATATTTTTGAGGAGTTCTATAATCTGTAAAAATATCGAAAATGAAAACAACACAATTTTGTGAAGTAGATTATTTTAGAGTTGCTAGTGAATTTCAAATACGGAGTATATGTAATAACGGCAATATATGTACGGTTAGTTAATGTTACCGTTGGATCGTTTGAGGGCACAAGTCATTATCAATGTGTCAAACTCAGATTTCAAATCTCCAAAATCAAATAAATTTAAGATTGGAATTTACATTTACATTATTCAATTGACTGGCTAATGCTTATTTTCTCACCCCCCAAGTATAATTTGTAATTTTCTCTAATTTTGTCATTTTGTGTATCAAGTTATTTTGCTACCTACATGTATTGTTTAAGGTACTACTAGTTGCTTTCTTCTAAATGAATGTCATTTATCTCTTTCGGACCAACTATGGCCATATGGCATTTATTAGAATAATTGTGACATTTTATTAATTGAAACATCATAAAACCTTTATTCGGAGTAGCCTATATTTCTGTTTTTGGTTAACAAACCGATAACTGATTATAAATCTTACGTTTAATCGAATAATTGATCTCTTTAAAAACAGTGATAATGACTGATTGATAATTGATTTTTTCGATCGGTTTGCGACATAAGTTTTCAATTTCGTTGTTTATTTGCACACCAAGGTGTTGGCTAGAGCTGAGAGTGAATAAAGTAGGACTCAAATGTTTTCTTTTGGACGGTTTTCAGTCCCAGATCAGACCAGATCAGACCAGACCAGACTTCCGTAGTTATAAAATACACAGAGACCAGACGTTTAACAGACCAGATCAGACCAACAAATTTCAGTCCAAAAGAAAACATCCTCACTTAAAAAGTAACGAAAGTACGACGAAACTACAGATGATCGGTGGTCGTTCAGTACATTTAAAAAAAACGCCTAGGGCCAACAATGGCCATACGAACCGGTGAACGTAGCTCAACTGGTAGCGAGGGAGTGCCACAAGGGTTAGGTCCCGGGTTCGAATCCCGGCAACTGCGATGAGAGGTTACTATACTAAAAATGCATAGGGTCTCTACAAGTACCGGGGACGGAGCCCCACTCTCTGTCAGATTGTGAATCTGTGGTTATAGTCCAATTTACATCCTCTCATCGTGCCGTCCGGTCGGTGTTGGGGGTCCTCATGAATGAGGTGTCATCCTTTTCGTTCAGTACATTTGAAAATCTATCCTAAATAGTGGACTGTATTTTCATAAATTGTATGTAGGAATAATTAATGATATATTAGGACAAATATCCCTTACCTCACCGTAGGTGGGAGCCTTTGCGGCATTGTGGTAAATGAAATTTTAGGACATATATATAATAGTAATTTTATTTTTAATTTTGAAATCTCTTTTTTTATTCCTATTATTGCCAACTTCGGATGTAAAATGCTTGTTTAGATGATAAAAAATGCTTGTTTAGATAATTCATTCCATCAATGAATTCAATAGTTGCTACGAATTAATTCTGAGTTGACCATTTACCCAGTTCAACTGTTGCAACCAAACAGGCTATGTGGGTCCGTGCATCATAAAAATCTCATTTGATTTATTTAACATTAGCACAAGCCAATTTTGTGGTCTCAATTGTGATCTAATTGTGTGAATGTGTGATCTCATATGTGATTTCACCTTTTCACTTCTTTTCTTCTTTTTTATGTGATTCATTTTCACTTTTGTGATCTTATTTCCTTCAACTTTCAATGATCCCAATGAGATCATTTTCAATCATTTTCGGAGTTCTCTATTTCTAGTTTAGAAAATGATCTCATTGCGATTTAAGTTTGTAATCCGAAATATGACCAATACAAGTTCAATATTTTCTTTCATGAGTGTACGTAAAATGGGTCTTTGATTTGTTCTCAGGTGGCAAATCCCCTTTGGCAGTGTCAAAGCCTAAACGGCAGGATACTCTTGAGAGCACATGGAAGATGATAACAGAAGGGTGGGGGATGCCGTTGACAACGCGGCACTTGCGCAAGTCAGACACCTATGGCAGCCAGAACCCTTTGAGGCCAACCTCACCTCAGAAAAAAATGACAAAGTCTGAAACGTTCAATAATGACCGTTCACCGGGGAACGGAGACGTTTGCAAGTCATCCCCGAGTCCCCGGTCGAAGTCAGGGAAATTGAAAAGAGAGCCCTCGTTGGGTCAGGATGAGCTGACCCGGCGAGTGGAGGCATTCATAAAGAAGTTCAACGAAGAAATGAGGTTGGAGAGGCAGGAATCGCTAATCCAATACAAGAAGATGATAAATGGCAGAGGACATTAGAATTCCGAGAATATGCCCTATTGAGTCATCCGCCCATTTGAAGGGATGTCCGCCAATTTGAATGCAATACAGAGCGGCAGAATGTAGTCCCTCCTTTTATATCCCTCTTATAAGTTACCTGTGAAAACAAAACAAACTATCTTTTAGTACAGAGTTTCTTGATTTTTATTCCGTAACAAGGTGCATGTATTTTAATGATAATACCATGTGTGTTTCTAAAGAAGTTTTGTCACCTATGGAATTAGATTGTAGAGGGCTCCTAAAAAACTTCATGATTCTCAATAATTTCATGGATTTTAATTATATTTTATTTGGCTAAACATCGATAGAATTGCATATCAAAGATAACACTAATCTATTCAACTCATCGTCTTACCCTCACTTCTTAGATTTGAAATCCTGTGAGTTTTCAGCAGACTTTTCTTCTTCTTCTTCTTAGCTACTTCTACCACTCTTCTTCTTCTAGGTTTGTCTTCTTGAGCATATGTGGCTACTTCTGCCACTCTTCTTCTAGGTTTGTCTTCTTGAACATATGTGGGTATATAATCTCGACTGCCCACAGTCCAAACATGGGATTCCATTTTACAGTATTTTAAAATTTGGGACATTAGGCATTAGCAGGGGCGGTCCCGAAGAAATGTAGATCCTGTGCGAGAATAAAATTTGGGCCTTTTTTCAAGTTGCAACACAAGCAAATTGTCTTAAAATACAACTTACGAATAAATGTTAATGATAAAAATAGTCATTAATAACTTACAATTTATTTAAAAAGGGACATTCTTCAAGCATATTTAGATTTACGCAAGAAATTTTGGGCTGAGGCGTAATACTAATTTTTTTTTTGGGCCCTTCAAAAATCCGGGCCCTGTGCGGTCGCACTGGGCAGCCATGCCCTGGGCCGGCCCTGGGCATTAGTATTGATTTTTGTTCACAGATTGGTATGATGATATGAGTAAGTGTGTAACTAGTCAGTTGGTCTTTGTAGGTTTCAAACTGAATTAACATTGTTCAAATTGTTTTCCATTTGTACAAGCTCATATAAAAAATATAAGTTGTAATAGTAATAATTAATAACCACGCTTAGTATTTATAAATACTTGAGAATATTTTAGATACAAATAGATAGCTTAAAGTAGTATTCATAAAACACTATTAAAATTTAAGTACGGAGTATGAGATTCTATGAAACAGTATTCCGTAAGATGTCATTATAATCCATTAAAACCCGTGGAATTATGTACTTCAAAGTCTAGGAAAAATGTGGAATTCAATTAGAATTTTATGAAATCTACAATTCTTATAAATCTTTCAAAATCGGAATTAAGAACACCCCAAAAGTGGCCAAAACTAGTAGTCTTCGATAACAAAACGATCTATTAGGTTTGTTTCTAATCGCATTATTCTTTGAAGTTTGAAATACAGAACCCTAGTTATCTTTTCGCACTTGTAGTGAAATAAAGAACCCTAGTTTTCTTTTTTGGAAAATCGCACTTTTAGTTTCTGCTAGGGGTGAGCAAAAAACCGACAAAACCGACAAAACCGAAAACCGATAGCCGAACCGACCGAAAAATTCGGTTATCGGTCGGTCATCGGTTATTACTTATTAAAAGAAGTCGGTTATTCGGTTATTCGGTTAACGGTCGGTTATTTTGATCGGTTATCGGTCGGTTAACCGAAAACCGAAGTATATTCTACTCCATATAAACATTTCCATGTACTTCTTTTATGCTATGATGTTTCACTTAATAATATATCACAATTAGTTTAAGAAATAATGTCAAATATATGACCAAATTGAATATTGTGGATACAAATATGTATTTTCATACTTTAATGACTATAATTATAATTTTAAGAAAAAATTACACAAATATAACTACTTTTAACCCCACTAACTAAAATATGACCTTTTGTCTTTTTTTACTCTCATGCTCTTGAACGTGTTGCCTTGTTCATAGGCACTTTTTTGTAACCTCAAATACTTTTGGTAATATTTATGTAAAAAACTCTAATTTTAATATGCATGATTGTGTTCAATTTTATATTATAGTAATCATGAAAGGTAAACTCATGTTAACTTTAGTCATATTTAAGTTTACTTTAATAAATTTCATGTACTTAGTATTTAGTGGTTGACTCAAAAGAGATAAAATAACACTCATGCACAAGAAAAGCTACCAGCATCATAAGAAAACTAATTTTATTATGAGGTAATTCAATTCATTTCTTCTTATTTATTTCATGAATAGAGAGAAATATTTTATATATGATCAATTTTTTTCATTCATTTTGTTTTGTAGTGTAAAAAATCAATTATTTTCAACCATTTTTGTATCAAATGTTTTTTCTAATATGTTTATTTAAAGCATTCAAAATTTTGAAAAAAATTTGTTTAAAAAATTTATATGGTCGGTTATTGTCGGTTATTCGGTTACCGACCGAAACCGAACTACGTTTTTCGGTCGGTTATAGTGATGTTGTCGGTCGGTTTTCGGTCGGTTATTAGTGTGGAAAAACTTGGTCGGTTATTCGGTTATCGGTCGGTTATTTGACCGACCGACCGAATGCTCACCCCTAGTTTCTGCCTTCCTGAAATAATCACCATATTGAAATGTCAGACCCGTGTTCCCCAATTTGTAAATGTTACCCCTCAATTATCCAAATGGTTGTAAATGTGATCTTTCGAAGGGTGAAATGTACTCATCACCCACATCATACATTTAAGTCTCAAAGGACAACATTTACTGCAATTTGAACAATTGAGATCTGACATTTACAATCTCAGAAATACGGATCTGATATTAAAGGAAAAACTAGTACAGAATAAGGGAAAAGAAGTATATTTACAAATGTGAATCAGTGGAGCCATATTCATAATGTTGACTGTGTATACTCGAGTAGAACTTCTACATTTTTTATATATAAAAAGAGGGAAAATCGCACTTTTAGTCTCAGAAATAAAAGTTAGACCAAGAACTTAGAGTTAGACCAAATGACCAATGTCATTCTGCTAAAATGATAGAAAGAAATCATGTCTTCATCTCCCCTTGAGTAAAATTCCTGTTATTTCGTTATCTTCTAAATAAGTTCTAATGTCTTAACAAGCCTAAATCTCTTTTAGTATATCTATAACACCCGGCCGCTAATTGGGAGTAATTGCAACCAAAAATCTGGATCTGTATACCCATCCTTTAAATCAAGAAAACAACCATGGTTCACTTATGAAATCATAAGAAATCACATTTACAATTCATTTTTATAAAGGACCATGGACCAACCACATTGCCCATTCGGTTGATTAAAATTTCGGCTGGAACAATTATGACTGAAATCACTGAACTTATTGATGGACTTGACTCGCTAAACAGATACTAGTATTTTAAAACATTTTTACTAAAGAAAACAACAGTAAAAGATACATTATTTCTGAGTTTGACCTTACATTTTGTAGTTATGCGAAGGATAAAATAGCGGGGATTCAGATTTAAAAATACATTACATCATCAAAATCATGTATAGTTAATCCTAACATGGTTATATATCACCCTCATTTTACCTGAACATCTTCACTGGTCTTGCATATTAAAAATTCAAATGGTGCAATTTGACGAGATGTATCCTGATCAACCTGAATCTCTACATTGTCATTGTTACAGGAAAAAGCTTATCCAAGATGGTATATACACCGCCACCTAGTAGGAGTGCACCACTGCCATATTTTATACAAAAAAAAAAAGACAGGGTTACATTTTCTCCAAAGTGTGCGTGTGTTAGACTGTTGTCACTTTGATGAGTATTATTGAAAATAAATAATATAGGAAAAGATTAAGCATAACAGCATTCTTTTGTGCAAATAACCTGACTGGGTTTATCCATGCTGAGAACTTGCGCACAGAAAGCAGGCTCTGTAAATTTAGGCATTATTACAACTCAATGATAAAATAATGAAGTGACACCGCTCGATAAATAATTCCACCTCCATCCCTCTAAGATTGGGACAAGACTACAAGATTGGGGGTTGTGTGGTTTTTTAAGAAAAGTAGAGTTGGGTTGTTGATATTGAATTGGTGAAGTAAGAACGAATTAGAACTACACAAGTATTATCAAATAGGGTACGGGACAAATTTAGTGGAATGAATGAAAAAGGAAAAAATGAACAATCATAGTGGATCGGATGCAGCATGGAAAAAGGTACTTGAAGAGTCCCTAATCAGCATATTGTAATTTTACTCCTTTTCACAGCACATATTAAAGATAATCCAGTCATTCTTTATTATCTTTCGAGGCGGGTGTTTTGGTCCTTTAAATAACAACATGAAGGACCAATACACCTCAATAAATTTGTGAATAAAATTGTGACACTTAGTATGTTGTGGAGTGAAGTTACAAAATGCTATTATTTTACGGACCAAAATTGCCTTTTCTTCCTGAATAAAACTCAAATATTCTCCTATGTTTCACTGAATGAAAAAGTTTCTTGAAACTAATATTACAGACCATTGAAGTTGAAGGTCTTTATCTTGTGGAAACATGTTTCCTTTAAATCATCAAGCAAGCAAATAAGTTTATATCACGTAGTGTGGATAGTACCTGTAATGCTCCAGCAAAGGAAGCTGCAAGAAGTAATGGAGCAACATATCCGGTTGTATATGTCAGCAGTACGCTGCCTCCTACAATTGGATCCTATTATACATTCTGGTGTTAGAATCCTCCTGAACCTTAAAACTTAGGAAAACCATTGCAATCTGATTCTATTCATAACTTGCCCTAATAGAACTGTGGTACCTCTTTTCTTTTCTATGTCTTCTCTTTTCATTTTTTTTTAATTGGGAGTGTGGCATTGGTGCTGAAGAGATTAGTGGAAAAGGGCAATAAACCTAAACAGTAAACACACAACAAAAACACATAAATGTTAAAAAAATCAGCTAAAATTTGAACCTTAGATGCAGCAACATATCCAAGTAAGGTGGCCAGTACTGGTGTGCTGCAAGGTGATGCAGCTAAGGCAAACGTAAGACCCGCCAAATATGCTTGCACACCTGAAAGATTTTTTAAAGGTATCAACTTTATTAGTGCCGACTGCCAAGAAGTGTCCGAGGAAGTTATGAACGCATCAAGATCCAGCGGTGTAATTTAACTTAAGGTTATGTACTTGAAGGGAAATTGGCAGCAGCTGTACGCGGATCAAAATTATTGAAAAATGAGGGAAGCTGCAACTCTACTACCTGCAGGACGCCCAGGATTATCCCTTAGGTAAATA